AAAGGCAGGGGAATAGAAAATGCTTAAAGTAACAGAACTTTTGAAGGTCAAAAGTAAAACCTTGTTGGATGTTTTCCTTCTTTTCATCTAATTGGAATCCAGCCTCAATTCCTCTTTCTTCTATGATTCTTAAGTCTCACCCATACATAACTTCTCCATTCAGTTGTTGTTACATATGCCACCCATTGACCACTTGTTATCCTGCCGTGTTGGAAATCTCCCCAAATAGACAAGATGCAGACAGCACACTGTGTTCATATATATATATATACACACACACACACACACATATACACATATACATACATACATATACACATATACACACACACACTATCTTTATGTATTTATTTATTTATTATGTGGTGCTGAGGCTCAAAACCAGTACCTCACACATGCTAGGCAAGCGCTCCACCACTGAGCCACAACCCCAGCTCCTATTTTTGTATTCCAAAAGCACTGAGGAAAGAATATAAATTGACTCCTTGTAAATATTACTTCAAAGATAGTGATCAAAATAGGTAGACGGATCAAAAATGTTTAATTCAGTTGTATATAATTTCAACCAATACTTTCTTCCTATCTCCTCAAGACCCTATGTTCATCAGGGCCATTCTTATTATGTATAGGTACTTCTAAATTCCCTTAGCAGCTAATAGAATAAGGAAAAAAACAGCTCAGGGCTGAGGATGTGGCTCAAGCGGTAACACGCTCTCCTGGCATGCGTGGGGCACTGGGTTCCATCCTTGGCACCACATAAAAATAAAATAAAGATGTTGTGCCCACCAAAAATTGAAAATAAATATTAAAAAAAAAAAGAAAAAAACAGCTCAGTGGTAGAACATGTGCTTAGCATGCACAAGACCCTGGGTTCAATCCCAGTACAAAATATTAAATGAAAGAGAACAGAAGGCAGGTTTACACAACATATAATAGATTATATATACAAAATAATATGATCTTACCACAGCACTTATTCTTTTTCAAATAGGAATAAGTCAAATGAATATGCATATATAACTTCACCACATAGCCTTAGAGATTAGAAGGGCCTTCTGTAAATGAAGTTATATGTGTTTTGTGATAGATGACTACTTCCAAGTTTCTGCTTATCTAACCTTCTTCTCAATGGTATTGAATATAACTACAGTTGCTAAACAAGTGACCTCTCCTTTAGCAAATTAAAGTATATTTTGCAGTTTGACTCTAACTTGGGGGGCAATGTAGTGTTTACCATGTTTTAGTGGAAGAAACCTAAATTCAAATCCTAGCTCTGCCACTTCTTAGTTTTACGTTGGGCAATTTCCAATGTACCTGAGCTTTGGTTCCTTCATTTATAAATATAGAGCACAGGGCTGGGGATGTGGCTCAAGCGGTAGCGCGTTCGCCTGGCATGCGTGCGGCCCGGGTTCGATCCTCAGCCCCACATACAAACAATGATGTTGTGTCCACCGAGAACTAAAAAATAAATATTAAAAAAATTCTCTCACTCACTCTCTCTTTAAAAAAATAAGTAAATAAATATAGAGCAAAAGTAATACCTCTATGATGGGATTGTTGTGAAGATTAAATGATATATACATAAACAGCATACTATGGAGAGTGGCACTTAGCACTCATTTACTATTATTAATAACTTCTTTTCAGTTACCATTAGTATGGTTGTTGTTATGGCCAGGGATTGAACCCAGGGGCATTTAACCACTGAGCCATAACCCCAGCCCTTTTTATTTTGAGATAAAGTCTCCCTAAATTGCTTAGGGCCTCACCAAATTGCTGGGGCTGACTTTGAACTTGTGCCTCCTGCCTCAGACTCCCAAATAGCTGGGATTACAGGTATATGGCACCTCATCCTGCTCCCATTAGCACAGTGTTAATGTATGCAGCTGTTGCAATTTTAGGTCAAATACTGTGACTGAGGGGTTGGGGTTGTGGCTCAGTGGTAGAGTGTTTGCCTAGCATGTGTAAGGCCTCAGCACCACACAATAAATAAATAAGGTTTTTTGTCCATCTATAACCAAAATAAATACACACACACACATCATCTTAAAAAATATTGTGACTGAGAACATCATCTTATGGACTTTCATGTGCCTTTACCTTACTAATCCTAAAATCCTTTCCTCCACTATATATATTTCAATTATGAGCAGGGCTCTATTGCTATTTTTATTCCTTTTTTGTGTGAGTGATACTGTGAATTGAACCCAGAGCCTAGGCACATACTAGAAAAGTGTTCTACCTCTGAGTTACACCCCCATCCTTTTTTTGGGTGAGGGGAATACTAAGGATTGAACTGAGGGGCCCTCAATCACTGAGCCACATCCCCAGCCCTTTTTTGTATTTATTTTACTTAGAGACAGGATCTCACTGAGTTGCCTACCACCCGCTGTTGCTGAGGATGACTTTGAACTTGCAACCCTGCTGCTTTGGCCTCCCAGGCCCACTGGGATTACAGGCCTACACTACCCCAATGGGCTACCCACCCATCCTTTTTAAAAATTTAACTTTCAAGTTCAGGCTAACTTGCCCAGGCTGGACTTATATTTTCCATCCCTTTGCCTCAGTTGAAATCACCTGTGCCACAGTGCCCTCCTACCAGGGTTCTATTTCTTAAGTCCTTTCCCAAAGTTCCAAAGCTCCAGACAGTACCAGAGGTTTCATATTCAATAATCTGCCTTAATCCAAGAAGAGGATGAGATAGGGCTGGGGTTGTGGCTCAGTGGTAGAGCAATCGCCTAGCATGCTCGAGGCACTGGGTTCCATCCTCAGCACCACATAAATGTAAAATAAAGATATCGTGGGGCTGGGGCTCAGTGGTGGAGCACTTGCCATGCAAGTGTGAGGTACTGGGTCCGGTCCTTGGCACCACATAAAAATAAATAAAGATATTGTGCCCATCTACAACTAAAAAATATTTTTTAAAAAAATATTGTGTCCACCTAAAACTAAAAAATCGATGAGATAGTCTTCTAATTTGATTGAGAGAGAGAGAGAGAGAGAGAGAGAGAGAGAGAGAGGGAGGGAGGATCTCTATGAATTGATCTTCCTGCCTCAGACTCCCAAATCGCTGGGATGACAGGAATGACAGGCGTGCGCCACAGCGCCCTGCTGGACCCCATGAATTTGGGGTTACTTAATGACTTCCAAACGCCACCACCTGTCCTCAGTGGTAAAAGAGTGCGAGGCTCAACTCTTGCCAAGGTACCTTCAGATTCTAAGTTGGGAGGATCTTATTAACTCAGCACAGAAGATTCAACGTGACTGTAAATCCCTCCTACCAAATTGGAAACCCCTCAAACTTCAAACTTCACCGCTTCCCATTTCGGGACTCCATGGCACTCTGTACAGATCTCTAGCGTCCACCCAGGCCCCGGGCCCTCAAGCGATTAGGACCTCACATGCCACCTCTGGGCGCCTGAATCCCTCTGAGGCTGTTTCCTCAGCGCCCGCCCCTGAGAGGGGCAGAATTAAATAATGGACCCCGGACGCTTAAAAGTGCCTGGCGCGGAGAAGCCCTCAAAAGATGTTGCTAGTACCAGTCTTGGGCAGCTCCCATGCCCTCCTTGAGCCTCAGTCTCCCCAAGTTTGAAAAGAACCTGGACAATGCCCAAATTCCTTCAGCAGCAGGGTCCCGAGAAAGCCTGAGGGGCGCACGCTGAGGGAGCAAGGCAGCGCTGGAAAAGTGGCCGCCCAGCCCGGTGTCGAGATGCGTCTTCTCACCTCCCGGGCTCAACAGCAATTTCAACGCTTCCAGAATCTGGTCCAGACCGCACGTCTCCACAGCCCCGCTGCCTACCGCCGGTCCCGGGGCCGCCATGACTGGAGTGGAATATGACGCCTGCGCGCTGCTCAAGCGCCCTGGTGGAACAGCGCTGTCGCCATGTTGAGTGCGTCTGGAGGCGCTGTGCGCGGCGTGGGGCGGGGCCAACTCGGTCAGGAACGCCCCCTTCGCATAAATATTGGTTTGGGGTTACCTTTCCTCCCTGAGCCTGGTGATGGACGAAGCACCGCACAGTTTTAGAACTCAGTATGAAAAATTGCAGGATAAAGCAGCAGATAGCGAGGCAGGAGGATCACGAGTTCCAGGGCATCCTGAAAAACTTGGCAAGACGCTGTCTGAAAATAAAAAATGAAAAGAGGGCTGTGGATGTAGCTCAGTGGTAAGTCAGCCCTGGGTTCAGTCCCCACTCCTGGAAAAAGAGAGCAAGGGAGGGAGAAAGAGAAGCGGGGGACGTTTATCATAAAATAATATATATTTCTGCCGGGCATGGTGACAGACACCTATAATCTTACTGACTCGGAAGGCTGAGGCAGGAGGATCGCAAATTCGAGGACAGGCTAGTCCACTTAGTGAGATTTTTGCCTTAAAATGAAAAATCAAAAGGACTGGGTATATGGCTCAGTGGTTCAATCCCGAGTATTGCGAATAAATAAATCTCCAGTACCGCGATGTAATTCAATATGAAAATACTTGTGTATTGCAACATGGAAAGGCAAAATGAGGTAGAAGCGTGCTTACATCTACTTATAGATGAGTTTGAATAAATAAAAATATTCAATTGAACATTGCTGACTTATTTGTGACATCTAAAAATATATACAAAAAAGAATAAATATATACATATATGACCATGATGAATGTAACAGCTACAGATGTTGATATTGGTGATATGTTTTTTTGAAAGGGACTTCCAAAATTGATCTTTGTTCTACTTATCTGCTTGTTGTATTCCTAGAAAATTCAGACTAGCAGGTGCAGTGGCACATACCTGTAATCCCAACAACTCCTGAGGCTAGGAGAATTAAAAGTTCAAGACCAGCCTCAGGAACTTAAGGAGGCCCTAAGCAACTTAGCCAGAACCTGTCTTAAAATAAAAAATAAAAAGGGCTAGGGATGTAATTCAGTGGTAGAGTATCCCTGGGTTCAATTTCCAGTACCAAAAAGAAAGAAAATTGTAAAACAGTGCCCCCACAAATTGTGTTTACATATAAAACAGAATGAATTTAAAATTCAGATAATCAGAAACAAGTTTTTCACCTACATAAATTGTGATGGGGCATTCATAAGTTGCAGGACAATGCTTCTAAGGGCAGAACCTTTATTTTTGCCTGAGTCTTCTCTCATTAAAAGTTGATTATGATGCCCTATCAATGTTGCAAGAACACACCCCCACTCTCACCACCCACTTTGAGAAAATTCTCCCTGAGACCCTGTGGTCTTGATTTCTTGCAGATGACTGACCTTCAGCATTAACTGCTTGAAGTCTAGGGAAGCAGATGTATTCCATATGCAAACCCATGGCTGTGGAGAAAGAAACTTTCCATTTAGTTCCTCTTTCTGAGCCTGTTAGGCCCCTTTTCTCTGAGTTCCGGCCCAATTCATTGACCATTTCCTAATCTCTAAAGTGAAGTGATAATTGAACTGTTTTCATAAAGCTACCAAAGAAAGTTAAAATGACACTGCTTCAAATATTTGGCACTTTTTGCTACAGAAGAGGCTTAGTAAATAGTACCTGACCTTTCTCTTAATCTCTTCAAATAAAATCCTGCCAAAGCATCTTTAAATTAGAAAAACATCTTTGAAGTAGAAATAAATGACCAACAAAATTACTATGTGCTGGGAGCTGCCACATAGGAGCTGAGCGCCCCCTAGCTTTGAACGATGGGAATGTGGAGATGTGGCAAGCCAGCAATGGGCTGTGTGTGTGAGCTGTGAGCATTTTGAGTGCAGAAAGTGGACTAGACTGACCATGCAGCTCTGTCTGGGCTGTGCACCTATTTGTGGACTTTCGCTTGCTCTGCTTTTGATCATCCCACTACACATGAGATGGGCATGGCCTTCTAAGATGTCAGTCAACCTGCTGACCTGCAAGACATCATGAAGCCCTGAAACCTGACCCTTTGCCTCATTTGAATGGCTTCTTCCCAGTAAAACCGGGTTTAAGGTGTGCTGTTTCTCTTTCTTGCCTGCCTTGCCTCCTTTGTGGGAGCTGGGTCAGAGGAGCTGTTACAGAACCCAAAGAAAAAAGGTATTTCTCTGTCTCTGTGTGATTATTTCATGCTATCCCAGTTCACCTGGAGTGACCCTGACTGGTTTAGTTGTGTGTCTCGACAATAATGCTCTTTCATTGTTTTTCCTTCCAGTCTTTGTCACTAGATAAGTTTTATTCAGCTATCTATGGGCACAAGTTCATTTTGGGGGAATAAAAAAAAAAACTTAAGCTGATTTAGAGTTGTTAAATATTTAGTGAAATGGGTATAACGCATTTTGTGGGAATGGGGCAGAAATGAAGTGGGGACCCTCCCACCTTATGTGAGGAAATGACTCAGGAGGCTGAAACAGGAGGATCACAAGTTCAAGGCCTCAGTAAATTAGCAAGGCCCCTTAGTGAGACCCTGTCTCAAAAGACAAAAATTAAAAGGGCAGGGGTTGTGGCTCAGTGGTAAAGCACCACTGGGTTCAATCCCTAGTACCAAAAAAAAAAGTATAAATCCGACTAATAGACTGCTAAATATTTTATGTCCTCCTACCTAGAAAAAATAATGTATTAATATGGAGAATTGCATGGGGGAGCCTGATTCTCTTTACTCCTCACAGTCGTCTCCATCCTGCACCATGAGGGCTTGGCACTCACATATGGGGATGCCCCAGCCCTGAACATCCCTAGGCAACTTGCCTGCCTCCCACTGCCGCAGTCTGGCTGGGTACAAATCACGAGCCACTGAAGCAGGAACAAACTTTATTTCTGAACTCCACCAGCACACTCCACACACACTCCTGGGAACTGCCCCAAACGCCACGCGGCTCCTCCAGGAACCAGCAACCGGAAATATCCCTCCTCCGGCACTTCCCCAACTAATGGGAACTCTCCGGACTCGCGGGGATTCCGCCCGAACTCAAAAGTCATCATCTTAAATGGCTCGCTAGCGTCACCTCTCAACCACTACTTCTGGCAAAAATGCCATTCTTCATCCTGACTCGGCTGTGGCCCTCAACATCCCACCACTCATGGCCTGTGATTGCTCACCCGGGAAGCCTGATGTATCTTACCAAGGCAGACCAAGTGAAGAGACCCACTTATCCCAGGAAGCAGGCTCAGGATGGTTGGGCAGGGAATTCCAGGGTCCTGAAATTTGAAGATTTGGGGAATGGGGTAGTCAAGGCTCCCAGACCCGGCAGATTTCTTGCTCAGAGATAGGGGCATGGTGAAGAAGGCCAGCTGGGGCCTCTGAAGCTTGGGTCTCAGGGCTAAGGCCCTACCAGATAGGCCGGCCACAAGTAAAGCAAGTACTGGTGTGGGACTAAAAAAAAGTGATAGGATTCCCAGAGTTGAGAATCCTTTATACCAAATATATGGAACTTACACATTTATGTTTATAATCCTTTAAGGTCTGTAGGCTTTGATACTACAAGTTGAAATTCCTAATTTCAACCCTTCTCTATCACTGAGCATTTTATTTTTTAAGGCAAGGTCTTACTAAGTTGCGCAGTCTGGCCTCCTACCTCAGCCTTTCAAGTAGTTAGGATTACAGGCATGCACACAGCTGGCTCACAAAAGCTTTTTTAAATAAAAAACCAGATATGTCCCAGGTGGAACAGTGGGGGATAAACATGTTATGTATGTTAGGAGTGTCCCACGTTCATAAGACTTTAGTGTGCATTGAGCTGTTTCTGAAGAAGGAAACATTCCCAGGCTTCTCCAAGCCTCAAGTCACACAAAATAGGTTTTTAAATTCTGTCTCCTAAGAATCAGATATGAAAGCTTATGGGATTTTTAGATTATAGGACTTGAAGCAAGGAAATTCCTTCCTCGGTTTGCTCTGGGTAGTTTTTTGTTTGTTTTACCAGGGATTGTACCCTGAGGTGTTTTACCACTGCACTACATCCCCAACTCTTAGGGCCTTGCTAAATTCTGAGGCTGGCCTCAAACTTGCAATCCTCCTGTCTCAGGTGCTGGAATTTCAGGCATGTACCACCAGGCCTGGATACTCTGGGCAGCTTTGTTAAAAACATGAAGCATAGCCTGGGGAATCCCTGTAGTATATTATTAATAAATAAGCATTACAACCAATCTTCACAAAAGCTATATCTAAGAGGGATCCCTCCCTTTGCAAAGAGCTATCTGAGGATATACAAGACACACAGAGGCCTGTATTCACGTAAAATGTGTTCATTTGTCGTTGGCCAAACAAGGAGCCCATTACCAGGACTTGAGGGACAGCAGCTGAACAAGTCATCAAAGCAGGCTATGGGTGTTTGCTCAACCCAAAACCAAGGAGACTAATAGCACTCAACGACTATCAATGGCTGTTTTACAGAACAGGAAAGACCCCAGCAAATTAAGTGACCTTAAGGAGACTATCTTTTAAAGTTACAAGTGATAACTAGAAGAGTTGTATTCTATTTTCATAATTGGCCCCTAAATTATTATTTTTTTGGGGGGGGGAAGGGCTGAGGATTGAACCTAGATCCTTGAACATGCTAAGCAGTGTTCTACCAGTTTCCCCAGCTCATCTATTGAAGACTATCTCTTCCCCCACTGAGTGGTTTTGCACCATTGTCAAATACCATTTGATCACACATGTGAGATTTATTTCTGAGCTCCTTAATTCCCCCAACATTTTATTTTGAAATGCCTTCAACCTGAAGATAAATGGAAACAGTACATGAATGCTTACATACCCTTCACGTAGATCCGGGTGTTATGAACATTTTGCCACATTTGCTTTCTCACTAGCTCTCAATTTAAACTTTTTTTGAACAATTTTTAAATTAAATTCCTGATGTCATGACACTTTATCCCTTCAGCATTTATATTAACAGTTCTCTTAGAGCCATGCAACCAGTATTGGTACCCAAGATTTATTTCCTAAATGAATCAGATTCAACTCCCCA